AATACTTGCCGCGCCCCACCTTTTGCAGAATCTCGTAGTGGTCCTGCGTTCCCCTGGGGTTAGTCGGTCACCTACCATTGCAACTGGAGATTGTCTGCGTAAGAAAGAGCTGTACGTACCATAGTCCCACCATGACCGGCCGCGCTTTTCGTTCGCGTCCGCATACACCCGCGCCACGCTCAATCCGGACATGAGTGCTGCCGAAACGGTCGACGCAGTCCGTCGCACGTCGCGTTCCAAGCGAAACCGTTCACGCGGGCGATAATTATCACGTGACTTCTGCCTACGGAGCCGGCGCCACGCCGTGCGGCACAGGCGGCGTGGGGTCGATTTTACGCGTGGGGTCCATAAATTGCGCGACCAGCTCGTCGGTGACCTGCGCCTTCCGCTGCTGGAAATCACCCACAACACGCTGGAGCTCGGCAATGCAGCGCTTCTTAAGCTCACCAGTGAGCAAGCGACCGGCACGGTAGTCCTCCGCAATCTGCGTAATCTCCTCGTCCGAGTCCACAAAGAACGTCAGGTACTGGAAGCTCACGTCCACATCAGGGTTGCCGCCTAGCCGGCGCTGCTCCTCCAGGGTCTCCTGACCACCAGAGAACGCGTGCTTGTTGATCTTGTTCTTGATCTGGTTCGGCGTGTCGTGCATAAAGATGCTCGATGTCTCGTTCGACGCACTCATCTTCGTCTGCGAGCCCTGCAGCGCAGGGAAGAACTTGGAGTGGATCAGCGAGGGCTTGGGGTACTTGAGACGAACAGCCACATCACGCGTTTGGCGGAAGTAGGGGTCCTGGTCGATCGCACAAGGAATCAGGCACGGCACATCGCTCTTCGTCCCATAGATTTGCGGGAACGAGTTCGAGAACGAGGGAGCCGCCTGCACAGCAACGAAATGCACCTTGCCGATGCTGTCACTGTCGTTGAACCCAAACGTGCCCTTCGACTGGTTCACGGTGATGTAACGCGCAATTCGCACAATGTTCCTGTAAAAGGCACCACCCACGTAGTCCAGGTCCGAGAAGATGAACGTCTTCTCAAGCTTGAAACCGCATGCAATAATATCGCGGGCATTTTCGTACGCGTACTTTTGAGCCTGCTCAATCTTCAGCTCGTTCTTGAACAGGAACTTCTCGTCATCGGTGAGCTGAATGACCAGCGGCACATCGAACACATCCTGCAGCCACTGGGTGAACAAGAAGGGAATCAGGTGGCCCAAGTGCATCGACGAGCTGCTAGGGCCACGGCCGGTATAGAGGTAGAACGGTTTCTGCTGCTCGTAGCGCGTAAGAATGAGGTCAAGTTCGCTGCGCTAATGAGCCAATGTCACGTACCGATGACTGAAGAAGCTGCCACGGCGGAGCAACGGGTGCGGCTTGCGCCCAGTCAGACGCTCGAAGCGCTCAAGCAGAGCAGCATCGATCGGCTTCGTTCCAAACTCCTTAATGAGCTTGTTATAGTCGATAGAGACTTGCTTGCCATCAACGTAGCCACCCTCGACATCCCACGGCGTCACCTTCTGCGCGGTATCGGCCGTAGTGGCTGGCGCGCTGCCGTCAGGCACCACTGAGGTCTTGGCCAAATCCTTCGCGAGGGATTCCATATCGTCGTTCTGCTCCATCTCTTGCTGACACAAGCAATCGGGAATTCGGCGGCAGGCGTCTCCACCCGTCGATCTCCATCATGGTGCGTCGCGCGAAACTGACCTCAGTTGATGTTCTCTGCGTTCAAGACGCTTACTGGACAAACAGTAGTTGTCGAGTTGAAAAATGATCTCGCTATCCAGGGAACGCTGAAGAGCGTTGACCAGTATGTGCCCTGACTTACGCAGATTCCTGAATTTCAAACTCGACGACATCAAGGTATTGGACCCCGGACGTTACCCCCACATGGTACGTTGCCTAGCTGACATCAGAGCGCTGTGCGCTCGACCTTTATCCGTGGGTCGGTTGTGCGCTATGTGTATATTCCCGCCGCCGCTGTCGACACGCAGCTACTGGAGGATGCGACGCGACGAGGTATGTCCCCACTCAATTTGTACCCCTTCTCTAACCGTTCAGAGGCAGAGACGCAGCAACGTCGCTAAAAAGGAAGCATATGTGCATGCTGTATCGTATAGGACTACCTAGTATGCATATTATTGGGTATTGTCGCCGCGCCCTCGACGCGACATGGACCAGGCCTTGTGCTTGGACGAGAGGTAAGAGCCCAAGTTGCCCAACGCCGCGTAGCCCTGGGCCCCAGTCGCTTGGATCGCAGAGAGCGTCTCTTTTTTCCGCGTATCCCATGTAGCCGCAGTGGGTGTCGTACTCTGTTCTTCTTCAGTCTCGCCGGTCTCGGTGTCCTCGGAAGCGACCAATTCGGCACTGTTTCGCTGAGAACGCCCGGCTCGCGGGGTTTGCCAACCCGCATTTAGGCGCGCGAGGTCAGACCGCCACGAGCTCGCGACCTTGGATAGACCTGCACTGCCTGCTTGAAGTGCTGCGCCGATCGCTTCCCGCGTGGGCGCCAGACTTTCATCGATGCGAAGATCGTGTAGGCCCGCCGAGAGCCGTAGTGCCGCATCGGAAAGCACAGTAACTTTACCCGAGAAGGGGTGTTTGCATCCGATTAAGTCGCAGAGCGTATCATCGGTAAGAGCATTCCATTGCGAAAATACGCGTGTTTCGCGGAAAAGCTGGATCGCTTCGCGCCCATACTGCGTGACGGGCGAGTTGGGATCCAACGGAGTGTCCGGCGCCCGAGGAGGTAGCTGTGCGGCATATTTCGCCGTAGCCAAAAAGCCAAAGACGTACTCCTCGAATCGTGCCCGCAGATAATCATCGCTCCCCTCATACTGCATCATGATCGGCTGAGCTGGGTCCCCCTCCTTCCAGGTTTCTTGCACAACGTGGATAATTTGGTCCATCCAGCTGCGGTCGGCGGGCGTGAGTGAAACCGCACTACTCAGTTCTGGATCGTTGAAGTGGAGCTGCGTATGTTGCAGCTGTGGTCAGTCATAAGGGCACATACATCGACAATCACATCGGGTTTGTGTGCTCGCTGCTGCTTAAAAATGCTGTTGGTTGTCCCGACGAGCCATGAATCGCTGGCGAGCATGTCAATCTGCTGTAAGGGGCAGCACGGCTGAAAGAAAGCGCCCTCACTGAACAGAGGCAAGGGAAGACCCATGAAAGCGAGCAGACTGTGTCGATCCGACATGCGGAGCGACTCGGCTTTGACTCTGCCTTGTGACAGAGATTTGAGCTCAGGGGAGGCTGCATCTTGAAGCGACGAAAGCAGCGCTGGTATAAGAGCCACAAGGTTGTATTGCGTAGTGCATAGCTTCTCCACGGGATAGCCGAAAAAAAGAATCTTGCGTTGAAGCAAAACGAGTTTCACCAGCGAGAGCGCCTTAAAACGCCATCGATGTACAAACTCACGAATGGATGTGCCCATATACAGTGCTCCATCCATCGAATTGGGCCCTTCGTTTACGTCCTTGTTGGACGCCTGTCGCACCGTGGGCTCCAGCGTGTCGTAAAATTCTTCCAGTAGCTCAACATTGTTGAGATCGCGCTGGGCAAAATACGCGCGCGTCACCATTCCCAATTTTTCGCGGAGCGGACCAAAAATGGGCTGCGTAAGCGTATGCACGTACCTCTGTGGCGAGCACCACGACCGCTTTCTGCACCATGCTGCGCGTCACCTGAGCGCCCTTGTTAATCAGCTCATCGGATTGGATTTGGCGATTGCATGAAATGCCAAACAGAGTGCTTGGGTACAGCGAAGCGCACAGCATGTGGAAATAGCAGAAGTCCTCCTCAGACTGCGTCAGTGTGTTTGCGTACCAAGTGACTTCCGTCCGGGAGCGCCATGAAAGGAAGCCGGCTACACAATTCCTCATTTTCCATGAGCGAGTTTGGATACGTGTATTCGACTTGAGGTCCCACGAGGTGATTCTGTGTCAGTCATACACATACAAAATCGACAACACAAACGCCCAATATCGTCGAGGTGTTTAGCGCCGGCGATGGGGGTTGAGATGCACTAGTCCCCGCAACTCGTACGACTTCTTCTGCCGGAGATTTCGGCGGGACGGGCGCCGCTGGTATCGCTTCTGGGGAGATTTCAGATGCATTGAGATCAGTCTGTTCTGTCCCGTCTATTCTCATGGGAGTTTGAGCGCTCATACCTTCACGCTCTGCCGGTACGTCCATGGCCCGTTCCACCCCGCGGAACCACGCCAATGGAGGCAAGCTGAGGTTTTTAGTAAACCTACCAAAGTCCGACCTACCCCGCAACGCATTGCTCGTTGGTGAGGACAATGGACGCCTCGAAAGCGCCTCACGGGGACAACTCATGGTCCTTACCGATGAGCATCAATGCGGATACTTCTACTATATTCTCGGAAACTAGCCTGTTTGTTGGTGATAATGCGTCCCATTCCATCCTATCTCACCCGATGGAGAGCGTCGACACGCTCGTCACCGCGCAACCCGCCGAAACCAGTGTGTCGTCGTCCGGCCCTTTTCCACTCCGGTACGCTCAGTGTCTCATATGACAGTATACCCCGCCGTTTTAATGGAAAAGAAACGATTCGGTTTGACGATGAAGTTCCTCCGGCACTTGTTGGCAGAGTATGTCGTGCTACATGCTTATGCAGATTGACGAGCAGCGCTACAAGAACATTATAGCAACAATGAATGACATACTTGAAGATTCTGCAAGCCCCTACTACGGACTTATTGACAATGTGCTCACTAACATGACATTTCAACTATGGCCACTAGTTGTGGGCACACACCATCAAAGAGTACGTGTACACCTCATAAAGTGCATGAAGCAATTTTACCGCGAATTGGACACGTTCCAACATGACATATTTACGCCAATGGGACTCTACGTGGTGCCGCCCGGCGACACGGCCTTCCTCTATCTGGAAGTGCGTGAAGCACGCAAGCCTAGTGACCAAGCATCCTAGACGCTATATACCATTTGATACCTCCCATTCACCATCGTTGGACCCATTGGTACAGTGGTTAGCACGTGGAGCTGTTAATACTGGTCGTGTGTACGACTACAAAACTCTAAGGTCGCTGGTTCGATTCCAGCATGGGTCGTTTTTTTCCAAAAATTTTGTCGGTTGTCTGAGCAGGTTTACCACCTTTTTTTTTGGTCTCGCATTTCTTCGGCGCATCAGCGCAGAGGCACAATCTAGAGGGTACACAGCTACACAAGCACAGAGCTCCATCTACATTCACTTGTGCTGCAGGTTAGCCTCATTCAATGCAACGTACCCGTCGGTATTCTGCGACAAGCATCGCGTGGTCGCGCTCGTACGGCTCCAGCGTGAGTTGCTCCCTAGGACGGAACGAGCTCTTCTTGAGCTTGTTGACCTCCTCGGCGAACACGGCCTCGGGCTGCGCAGTCGAGTCAATGCAGCTAGCCTTGATCGAAATCACCACAGCGCCGCCGTTCTTCAGGAAGTACTCGGCGTTGTAGGCAACGATACGCGCCTGGTCGGGCTGCGCAACGTCCGCAAAGATGACATCGACCGTGCCAACGAGCATACGGTATTTCGCAGGGTGACGCGCGTCCTCAATAATCGGGATCACGTTCGTACGCTTCTTGGCCATGTTAATCAGATCACGGCCTGACCGGTGCGAGAATTCGACCGCGTATACAATCCCCTCGGGACCCACAATGTCGGCGACGTGACTCACACTAGTACCGCTCGCAGCACCCAGGTAGAGCACCTTGGCGCCCGGCTTGATGTGAATGTTGTCCAGACCGCCGAGAACACCGGCCGCCAGCTTGGAACGGAACGGATTCCACACACGGTATTCCACCTTGGCCACCGCCGGGTTCTCGTCAGTGCTCGGCGCCGCGTTGGGGTTCTCCACCGAGATGCGCTTCTCGCCGTAGACCGACTCGCCGGGCACCAGGTTCTTGGTCACCAGAAGGTGCTCCTTGCCCTCGGCGACAAACACACCGTCGTGGCGGTGCGGCTTAACCATGACGTTCGAGCCGCCACCCTTGCCGCCGCGCGCACCACCGCGGCCACCGCCACGGCCGCCACCGCGACCGCCACGCGCACCGCCGCGGCCACCGCCGCGCGCTCCTCCACGGCCACCGCCGCGACCGCCGCCGAAGCCACCGCGGCCGCCGCCGCGACCACCACGGCCCGGGGGTCCACCACGTCCACGACCCGGAGGTCCGCCACGTCCACGATCACCTGGGGTCAGCCAGGGCCACACATACCAAATGCCATTTCTTTTTTTTCTGTTGCAAGCGCTCGCTTCGTGCGCCGTACGAAAAGAGCGACGGCCCGCTTTTTTTTCCGGACACATGGGTGGCCACGTGACTTGCACCGAGGCGCGTCGTGCGCGTTGAGGTGTTTCGCAACGCGCGGAGACGATGCCGCGCGAGATTATTACGCTCCAGGCAGGCCAATGCGGCAACCAGATTGGCTCACAGTTCTGGGAGTACCTTTGCCGTGAGCACGGCATCTCCCAGGATGGCACACTCGAGGATTTTGCGACTGAGGGCCAAGCGGGTGATCGGAAAGACGTCTTCTTCTACCAGGCGGACGACGAGCACTATATCCCGCGCGCTATTCTCGTGGACTTGGAACCTAGGGTATGTCGCGCAGCATTCTCACTGTGCAGGTTATCAATAATATCATGGCAGGGCCATACCGAAGCCTGTACAACCCGGAAAACATTTACAGCAGCAAGGACGGCGGCGGTGCCGGCAACAACTGGGCACAAGGCTACGCGGCCGGCGAGAAGATTTCCGACGAGCTGATCGAGATGGTAGACCGTGAGGCAGATGGGAGCGACAGTCTTGGCGTACGTGGCTCGAGCTCACACAGGGATTCTTCTTGACACACTCGATTGCCGGCGGTACCGGCTCCGGTCTGGGCAGTTTCTTGCTGGAGCGTCTGAACGACGCCTTCCCCAAGAAGCAGATCCAGACGTACAGTGTTTTCCCCAACTCGGAGGAGACGTCTGATGTGGTCGTTCAGCCATACAACTCGGTACTCACGCTCAAGCGCCTTGTGAACAATGCCGACAGCGTTGTGGTACTGGACAATGCTGCGCTCAGTCGCATTGCAAGCGACCGTCTGCACATGCAGAACCCAAGCTACAGCCAGACGAACCAGCTGGTAAGCACGGTGATGGGGGCGTCCACGACGACGCTGCGGTACCCCGGCTATATGAACAACGACTTGGTCGGTATTCTTGCGTCGTTGATCCCTGCCCCACGGCTGCACTTCCTCATGACTTCGTACACGCCGTTTACCTCGGACAATGTGGACCGCGGCAAGGCAACGATGAAGACGACGGTGCTGGATGTGATGCGGCGACTGCTCCAGCCCAAGAACCGGATGGTGAGCATCTCTGGACAGAGCAAGACAAGCTGCTACATGTCCGTGCTCAACATCATCCAGGGAGAGGTCGACCCGCGCGATGTGCACAAGAGTCTGCTGCGTATCCGAGAGCGGCACCTGGCGAGCTTTGTGCCGTGGGGGCCTGCGAGCATTCAAGTGGCCTTGTCGCGGCGCAGTCCCTACGTGGAGAGTTCGCACCGCGTGAGCGGGCTAATGCTCGCCAACCATACCGGCATTGCAAGCATGTTCAAGCGTACGGCGGACCAGTACGACAAGCTGCGCAAGCGCAACGCGTTCATGGAGATGTATAAGCGCGAGCCCATGTTTCAAGGGGGCGACTTGTCCGAATTGTGCGTCCTACAACTACTGACCACAGCGACGAAGCGCGCGAGACGCTGGCAGAGCTCATGTCCGAGTATCGCGCCGCCGAACGACCCGACTGTACGTTGCGTGCTTACCCAGACATTTCCGGCCCCGACGCGTAGGACCCCTGTACTGTACCATAGCCTCGACGCCTACGACGCGCCTATCCCCCGATGGCCCGATCGCCACGTGTGTTCGCCAAGACAAGCACCGCCGAGCTGCGAGCACGGAGGTACATGCCGAGCGGTCGTCAACTATAATGCGCGATACCTCCTCGTTCCCTGGCAATAGGGGCGAGTCAGAGGCGCGGCCGAATGTGCGTCTCGAGACAGACGCACATGCGCCCGACGCCGCTGGCGGGTGGGAGCCGCTGGCGTCACCGTCACCGCCGCTCCTCTCGCCGCTGACCGACCGCCCGCCGAGCGTGGATTTGAGCACACGTCCGCCGACGCGCTGGTCGAGTGGCGAGTCCCTCGCAGGTGCATATGCCGCGGACGCCATGCACGATGTACGCAGTCCGCCGCTCAAGGCGTACGGCGGCGACGACGACGACGACGTGGAGCACCAAGATATGGGCACGTTTACCAACCGCGGCGCATCGGACCCGCGCTGGCAGAGCTTTGCATCGCTGCCGCTCAACGATGACGGAGAAAGCAAGCGGTCGACGTCCGTGCTAGGCGACGCGTTCGATACCTACATGCTCCGCGACGGCGATTCACCCAGGCACCCCGACCGCTTCCCCGCCCAGGAGCGGCACGCGGGGTGGGCCGAGTACCTACCCACGAGTGCCATTGACGAGTACGACCAAGGCAACGAGCCTTCCGATGACGAAGAGGCGCGCGCGCCCTCCGCGGAGTCGCAAAGTGGCCCGCGTCCACGCGAGACACTATCTCAGCGTCTCCAAGACCTGGCGCAGAGCGGGCGCGAGGCGATCGGGCGCGCCAAGGAGCGCATGCGCCTCGCGAGCGACTCGATGCCCTGGCGGCAAGAGCGCTCGCGCGAGGGCCCGTGGCTGCCAATGGAGGATGCAGACCACCCCGACGAGAGCGGTGCGGTGCCGGACGTACGGCCGGTGCATGCGCGGCTACGGGGCAAGACGCTGCTGTACTTTGGTCCCACGCATCCCGTGCGCGTGTGGTGCGCGCGCGTGCTCGAGTCGTGGTGGGTGGAGCCGGTGATCCTCGCGCTGATCACGACGAACCTGGTGGTGTTGATCGTGTCGTCGAGCCGGGACATTTTTACGCACCCGCCGCGGTACGACATGCTGACCAGCGGCGAGCAGATTGTGCTGCTGTTTATTTTTTCCTTGTATACCCTGGAAATGGCCGCGCGCGTGATTGTGTCCGGCCTGCTCATCGACCCGCCGCCGCCCGAGACGGCGCATCCGTCGGTGCAGGTGGTGCAGAATGCCTCCACCGACTCGCTGCCGAGCAAGGAGGCGGCCGAGGTCGTGCCCGTATCGATGCAGAGCAATACGGTGCCCACCATGTACCGCGTGTACCGCATGCTGCGCGAGCAGGTGGAGCGCATCCTGCACCCGTATGGCACTGCGGCGCGGGCGCATGCGGCGACGCACCTCGAGGGCGTCAAGCCGACCGAAGGCATCACAAGCGATGGCCAGGCGCACACGCTGCCGCTCGGGCCACTGCCGGACACGCCGTGGGGCGGGTCGGTGTCGGAGGAGCACACCGTGTTTTACCGCGCGTGGCAGCACTGCATGACGGTGCTGCTGCGCTTTTCGCGCGGGATCACGGGCAATGTGAGCGTGTTGTCCGAGCGCGCCTACCTGCGGCACAGCTGGAACCGCGTCGACATCCTCGCGATCGTGTGCTACTGGGTGGCTATGGCGCTCAGTCTGACACACACCGAAGAGACGCCGCACCGGCACATTTACCTGTTCCGTGCGGTGAGCGTGCTGCGGTGTGCGCGGCTAATGGCGCTGCCGAGCGGCGTGGCCATGATTCTGCTGTCGCTCAAGCGCGTCGCACCGCTGCTGATGCGCGTCGCCTACTTTATCGGGTTCTTCATGCTGCTGTTCGCCATCATCGGCATCCAGAGCTTCAAGGGGTCGTACCGGCGGCAGTGTGTGTGGATCGGCGATTTGAACAACGAGCAAGGCTTCAACTATACCCTCGACCAGCTGTGTGGCGGCTCGTACGATCCCCTCAATTCAAGTGCCAAGATTGGGCACGTCCTGCTCGACGGCCGGGCGTCGGGCGAGCGGCCCAAGGGCTACATCTGCCCGTACGGCCAGCTGTGTATGGAGCAGGAGGTGAATCCGAACAACAACGTGCAAAGCTTCGACAATGTCTTTACGTCGCTCCTGCAAGTGTCCATCGTCATCTCGCTCAACGGATGGAGCGA